TATTTCGAAAATGCGAGTGAAATTTCACTCGTCGCATATGATTACCCATATAAATATATTGGTAATGAATAACACCAAATAGCCAATTGTCATATCAATAGTGAAACAATCATCATTGCGTTTGAACTTTTAAAGCAATATCTTCAATCCTTTCAAACGAAGTTATTCTAAGCGATGGATAGAAGTAACTGGCAGATCGACTGACAACAGCCACTGAACAGCGCTACAACCGTGCCTCCTGTTCATGCAAAATCAGTGATATAAAGCTGAATCCGTATGAATGCGATCTAAATAAAAGCTTACAAGAATGAAAACGTATACATACATGACATAGCAGCGTGGAGTAGATATATTACGGTAAAACGGCTTCGAAGAACGTTATTTTTGTAAAACAACTAATTGCTTTCGATTATGAATAGCATTAACGCAAGTCTTGTACTTCTGGGTGGGAGGCCCTTATTTTGTTTACATTAATTGACATAATTAAAACCATTGACCAATGAAGTTAAAAACAGATGCTTTTAAGGCTGCTTTCCAATAAGCGAAAGCTCAGTAACGATCGTTGGAGTTGCCTTATATGGCGTTTAACTGTCATGACATATTAGTTTGGTAGAAGGTTCTGTCACTCAATCGTCTAAGGGCCTCCACGGACTAGAGAGATAGTTGTCGACAACTATTTAGTTGTCGATCATAAAAAGTTGTCGATACAAAAAAGCCAGTGTGTGAAGCTAGTTATCGATAACTACATTTAAAAGATTAGTTATCGACAACAAAACAGTTTTCCTGGAAAACAAATTTAGTTGTCGATAACAAACGCGGCAGGCACGTGCATGAGCCATTGTACTGGTCATTAAAACCTTTTGTTTAGCGACGTTCCCGTCCGCCATCTTGCCAAACCTGCACTCGCATTGGCATGCGCAGGAACGCTAGTTACCAAGCTCTCGCATAAAAATACAAGTTATCGATAATTTGGCCTCAAGTGTGTGGGAAAAGCTCTATCGAGCACTAATAGTTGTCGAATCATTTTAGTTGTCTAGTCTGTGGAGAACCGAAGATGTTTGGAAATGGAAATATTAAAGAAAGGTATGGAACATTGAATTACGAGATTTTGCTTCTAACAACCTTTCAGGTTATTGCACAGGTAGCTAAAGCTTTAGAAACGACTTAAAATAAATAAAATGATCATCCGAAATTATCAAGTATTTATTGTTTTATCATACTTATATTACATTTCCGTGTTAGCTTCGTTCTACGAGCGAAAATTAACATATTTCTAAAATCGCTCCCAACCCTTATTATAGGGTAGCGAAAGGTGGCACAATCCAGCCAAGAGAATGCCAAATGAAGCCGACCTCTTTTCACTGATTGAATGAGCTGTAATTCTCAAAGTGAAACAGACCAGTTGCACCCGTCCACAAAATCATTCAGTTTACTCGTGAATGCAATGAAACGAGTATAGCTGTGGAAACAGATATGCAAATTTCACTCGCTCGCTCGATGGGCTTAATTTATGCATACATTATAAATTTATCTTTTTTTAATTTTATTTAGTGATTTTTTCCCCTAGTTTTATTATTTTTGTAGAATTTTTTTTAATTTTAGGATTTTTTTTTCAACATGGGGCTGTGTAATTCGAAGTATTGCCTTAGAACTCAGAATCGTACCACTGCGCCGTGTGAGCAACTGTTGTTTTCAAAGTGTATACAAAACATATAAATACATACGGGGGCCTTTACCCATGGCGACGGCATTGGAGGGAGGGGATGGTGGGGAGTCGGAAGTAGGGGGTGGGGGTCGGTGAAGAAAACGCCTAGGAGAGAGGAGGGTGCGAAGGTGCGGGTGTTCTCCAGGGTGGATTCAAACAAATGACTTCTCGAAGATATTTCACTCCCGCCCGGATTTCACTCCTTCGAAATGGAAAGAAATAACCTAAAGATACTCGAGCGCCATAAAATACAGTGGGAATCTTAGCGATGAATGTTTGAAGTTCTTCCATTCTCAAGCACAAGCTGTCGAAAATTAAAACCGAACTGCCCCGCTGCCGCCACTGAACTGTCGACTTCAAATTACGTTTTCAAGAGTTAAAAGAACGGTGCAGTACGCTAGAAGTACTAGCAAGACTTCTGACCGAATATTATATAATACTCGTTTGGTTTAACACTTCTTCATTTTACTGCTCAATAAACATAATAGATTAAAGGTTTAGATAACTCATTAAGTAAGGAATGCCTGAAATTAATTTATTTGCTATTTTATTTTAGCTATAGAGACAAACGCCGGCGCAGCTAACGCACCGGCGTACTGTGCCGTGTTAACAATGTTCTTATCAAATTGTTTTATTCGATGAGATAAATACACTGCTTCTATTTATTTGTTAGATCTCTATGCCACACATGTTTTGCTTTTTATTTTACACATGTATAATAATAACGAAAGTTGCCTTAATTAAGTAAATTTGTCTGTTGGTATTTGGTAGAGTCTAATATGTGCAAACTATAACAAAAAAAAATAACGGTATGGACGAAATTAATGTTATTTAGTTGTTGTTGTTGTTGTGTGTTGTTGGTGTTGTTTGTGTCAAGTAAACCATGCACGCAGCCAAACTGTGCATCTTACAGCCACCAAACGTTACCTTCGCAAACGTCTAACGTGTTTTTATCTCGGTTTCAAGTTTGGTGTAAATTTACAATATTTTGTTGAAAAGGCAGCAATAACCTGAAAAATTGCCCTTTGTACTATAGCTACCTAAAGTTCAAAAGCATCATATCATATAATAACAGGACAGTATATAGTTGTAGCTTTAAATTTTAGAAGCTGAGTTTTAGTACAATGGGAGAATCCCAAGGCTCACTCGTTTCAATCAGGTACTTCGTCTTCGTATATGAAACTGCTTCAAAGAATCTTCAAATAAGTTGATTTTCTAAATGGTTAGCGCGTGGTACTCCAGTTTGAGCGCTACATGGCTTATGATTGGGTCATTGTGTTGTTTAATCTCTTAGTGCATCTCTCCACCCAGGGTATAAATGCGGGCTACCGGCGAACTGAAGAAATAACGAAGGGTAACTTACGATGGGACTAACATTCCATTCAGTGGGTACCGAGAAATACTCCTACTTGCTGCAAAAAGGGTTTAACAAATTAAAAAGATAGGTGCACTGTTTCGTAAAAGACTGTGTAACAACGTACTATTCTGGATTCGTTCTCTATCATGTAAGGGTAAACAAGCATATTCTTTATTTATGCAGCTGCTAACAGTTGAGAAACGAACGCATCACTGATTGAATCATAGTCTGTTAATGTGGGTCGGGTGGGTGGTTCAATTTGCAAGCTTGGTGCCCCCTAAAGGTTCGTCCGTAGTACGGCGAATCTTGTTTGAAGAGTGGCAATTACAGCATATCATTCCTTTGATCTTCGCCCTGAATCGTTGGCTTAACAGAGCGTACACAAAAGGATTGACAGCAGAATTTAACAGGATCATCATGGTGGCAATAGCAAAAGTAACATCGCTGTAGGGGAGCTGATATAGTTTAGGATGTAGAGAACTGCGTCAGTTAGCCAACAGATTCCAAAGATGATACTGACAGTACGACCCTCAAGGTAACTCGCTTTCGTACCTTCACTACACCCTAATATAATAGAGAAAACGTGCAAGGTAAGTTAGTAATCATACATGGATCAGTCCCAAAGCTGCTATCAGAAAGGGTTCACCAAAATCGACCCTCTTTAGAAAGGACTTTATTGCAGTTGGAACTGGGGAAAGGGCAGAAATTAAAGTCCCCACACCCATGAAACTCGTATCGGCGATATGCCGATTATGATTTCAAATGGCACCATCTTAAATATGCCATCTTGGATTTTTTTATTTTGAAAATTGAAAATGACATAAAGGTGCAAAATAGATGCGAAGCTAGCTGCAATCAAATTAAAAAAAAAAAACATTACAACCTGAAACGGCTTGGAACATCATATCAAGTGCCCAATTTATGGCATTGTCCAACACTATTCCATTCCGATTCGCAAAACGCGTTTTGTGACGTCAGAGACAAACAAATGTCCAATCCAAACTTCATTGTGATTAAATAAGTCAAGTATAACGTCATCAGGTAAATTCAAGAAATGCGAAAACTCGTTAAGTTGAGAGATAATAGGAACTATAAAAGCACTGCTGGTTTTTTTAATATTCCATGACCCAAGCCTTGTTGCCTGAGCAGTAATGAGTATTTTGATCTTGAATCTACACACCAGGGGTATGGTAACTGATACACACGTTGTTGTTTGCAGCCTTTTGATTTTACTTGGATAACAATTTTCGTTAAGCAATTCTTTGCTAATATTTACCTTCTGTCGATGTGTGAGTTTATTGTCGTCATAACGTTTGAACCACAAAGTGTGCACGACTCTGGAGTATAAGCCAATCATCAGTGCCAAGGGAAGAGCGGTCACAACTAGAAGCCAACTCAAGCTGTTTGCTATGGCCATCCACTGTTCAGGCCACTCTTCCACGCAGACGCCGATCTTCCTTTCAAAGTTCAGAACCAGGAACTCTGAAATATTCATCACCAATGCAAAAACCAAGAACAAGGAATAATCACCTAGAAATTGATTTTATTAATTATTGTGGTGGTTACGACAACACAATTTTGAGAACAAAAAGATGATGCTAACATTCATTACTATTATTAGTGGTAGCAGTGGAAATATTCCTATCCACCTGCTTTATCTTTTTAACACTAAACATACATTTTTTAGCCAATGCCATAAAAATTACAGCAAAACTGAAAGTTAAAAGCCGTTGTATATTATACGGGTTAAGTAAAGTAAAGCAACTTTATTTATACACGGTTTGTGTTAAAGCTAGAAGCTTGTAGGGCCGTGTGTAGAAACAAATATTTCAAATAAACATAACATGGTTGAAATCCCAACTGGCAGGAGACAGATCAGTTGGCTATTTACAGAGCGCAGCCAAGGAGTTGAACTCGGGGCAACCGAGAACAAACTCCCAGCGAATGACGGGATAGAGGACTTGAACCCGGGACCTCCGGATTACAAGTCCGACGCCCTGACCACTCGGCCACGCTGCCTCCCCTGTTGGTGATATCTGATATCTGCAAACAGCTTGTGGGTTGTAGTCAAATGTAGTTTCTAACTGGTTTGGAAAATTCAACAAACATATTTATATATTTTTGGGGAATATAATCGAAACATCTTCGGATTTTCCCTCAGAAATTGAACGTAGACGAATGACCTTTGGACAATTTTGGCCGATATTCATAAATTGTTTAAACTGGGCATGTAATACGTCCTCGTGATATATCATCCTACTTCGATTCGCTAGTCGCCTAAATGCTCTCATTCAATCAATGGCAAGAAAACATTGCGCAAAATTATCATGTAAAATTGAAACTTTGTAAATGGATGGCGTCCAAGTTCCTAAGAAACTTCAGTTGTCACTGATCTGCCTGCTTGTCTGCTGGCGCTAATGGCTATTACAGGTAGATTGGATGGAGTAATTTAACAGGCTATGCAACGAAGTGCAAATATATGTTGCTGTCGTTGTTACTTATATACTCACCTTCAGTTTACGATTAGTAAACTTCCCTCTGTTACCAAGGGGATACATAACTGCATAATATCGTTCAACCGAGATGGCAACCAAAGTGAAACAGAGGAAGCACCTCCAACCCATGCGAGGTTACCACCCGTCAGCAATCTGCATAACACTGTGCCAGTGACTCCCACAGGATGAGTAAAAGTGTGGCTCAATATGTACTGAGGGGTAAGAAACGTCGCGATCATGATATCTGCCACCGCTAGATTCACAATTAGAAACTTTATAGGAATCCTGTAGAATTTATAGATAAAATATATTCATAATCCACGGATATTAATGTTTCTGAGAAAACGAAAACCACACTGGGGCCAGACCACCCCTTAAAACGATCATCAAATTCACTCATTTTTCGGTCAATTTACAATAATTTTGTTGGTTTATTTACCAAACTCGGCAAGTGAATATGGAACACTGTGCCAATCATTTTGAGATGAATGATGATAGGTAATGTCAAATTATGACATCACAATTGATGACGTCATATTATACGTAAATTTAAAGTTTTGAAATTGCAACTTTTTTTCTATTGTTTTAGAAAGAACACATAAAGGGGAGTTAAACGCTGAAAATGTTTCTCAAAATGACAGAAATTTGATGAGATATGACATTTTGAATTTGGGAAAATTTGGGATAATTTGCAGCGAAATTGTTTATAATATGTTTTGGTCGTTTTGCCAATGCAATTTAAGTTACAGATTGGCTGCCTTAAATGACGAAAGCTATTAGAAAAAGAAAAAATCGGAGAAACATCTTCCTGCCAGTAGTAGTACCGCCAAAGTAGTTTCTTGACGTCATAATGTCACGTGATCAACATTCTTGTGCTAATATTGGCGTTTTCTAGCCAAAAATAAAAAATCTGAAATCAGCACCGTAATAAGTCTATTTTACCAAAATATTAGCTCACTGTGAAAAAAAATTGGTGCTTTGTGCGCCAATATTCTTACGGCGGCCATTTTCAGGTGCCGCGAAAATGGCGGCTTGAAGTTAAAAACTACTTTTTGCAGGATCCTGGCCTTGTTCTCGCCACAAAAAAGCAGTTAGACTACCCAAGTTAGCACAATTTCGAAAGTATGGCATACATTAGCGGTCATTAGCCCCACGAGAGATCGAGTTCCCCGGATGAAAACAATAACATGCGACCGCAAAGCACACTGGTTGAGAGGGCCCTTTAAATTTATAATTAATTGGACAACAACCCAAGTTTATCTGGTAAGTTTGGTGAAGAAATGTGAAAAGAAAACAAAATTAGTCTTAATGATCCTTTTAGGGGTGTTTGGCCCCAGCGTGACTGTTCAACCGAGAGGGAACTCAAGATCAAATCATAGATAATGTCAAAAATAAAAATCAATGTATTTTTAAGGTTTGCATTCATGGTCAATATTGAGTTATTGGGATGGTGAGCAAATATCATTATTTTGGCCATGCCGTAGTCTCCTTAACAGCCGTTGTTTGATTATTCACGCGATGCTCCGTAATGGATGCAAAGAAGATTAAAGCTGATGCAGAAGACAGGCTAAACTGATCTGCGAAAACACTGAAAAATGACATTTATGTGTGAGAACTGAGTTCAATAATTATTTCCATTTGTTTTAAATAATGCACTGGATGTGCGCGATGCCTTTGTTTTGACTTTTTATGGTCACAGATGTTGGCTAAATTCAACAGACTGGAGGCTTGGAATGAAATAGTCCAGGAAACTTTATCCGTTGTGATTAAATTTATAAGGCCGACTTTCTTCCCAGAAACCCATAGCTCGGTACTTTAGTGCATAGATTAAATTTCTACATTTTCCACCCGCTTGTCTCGAAAATGCAATCAGACAGTCATATAACATATTCGAACGAACAATCTGTAATTGATAATGTACACGAATTGGTTTCTGTTTGTCTCCACATAATTATGTTATCATAACATAAAGGTTCTTGAAAAAACAAATAATTAAAATATGTTTTGTAATATATTAAGTACCCATAGTCCTTAGAGAACTTTGTAATACTCAGAATGCTCAGGAAATAAAGTTGTGTTGAAACCGCCATGTTGGATCTGGCCTCATGTATTGAGAGTCTAGTTATAAACTGACAATATATTACATGTTTGGGTTATAAAATAATACTAATAATTTATCTCGGCATACCTCAAGTCTCGATTTCTCATTACGATCACGCAAACAAGAGAGTTCCCCATGATGCCTACGATGACGAGTATAGAGAATACCGTTGTTACGGCAACAGCAGCTGTTGCGGAAACTGTTGGCATGGACATGTCTCACTGAAGACGTAGATGTTTGTCACGTGATCCACCTTGAAACAAAACGAAGACAAATGAAACCGGATCATTTCAAAGCTTATACCTGGTGGTCATCTTTCAGCTTTATTTCAACAATATTCCTGCCACAAAATATCTACAAACTACGATCGAGGTTGATCCGTAGTCCTCCATTACCTATTTTCGAGCGGCATTGGCCTGGCTTGCTTTATTTTTAACTCGCGTTTTCGTTTTTTTTTCCCGCTTTTCACACGAACTAACTAAGGGAAAAGAGCAATTTCTTGTAGACTGGCTAGTATTTCGTCTTTCACGATTGTATTATAGGTAGCCACATTCATGTAGCTAGACAATAATTAAACTTTCATCTTATTTCGTCACCTAAAGCTTGCGATATTCAGCAAAATGCAAGTGAAATTTCACTTGTCACATATGATTACCCATAGAAATATATTGGTTATAAATAACACCAAATAGCCAATTGTCATATCAGTGGTAAAACAATGACCATTGCGTTTGAACGTTTGAAGCTATTCTTGGTTTGCATCTGACGTCATCAAAATTCTAAAATCTAAACTGTTAATTCTACAAAGCTATTCTTTTCACATATTCTAGACATGCAAGACATTAACCTCTATGCAAAGTTTGGTATCGATTCAGTGCTTCGTTTCGAAAATAAAGCATTTTGAAATTTGCGATGTCCCGGATGAACGTGTTTTTGAACTGTCACAAAAACGGGTATTTTTATGTCATGTTTAAATTTTTATACGTGATAATAGTTTAGAAGTGATATCTAAAGAGTTTTGAAGTGAAAGCTAATGATATTGATGGTCGAATCTACTCTACTTCTTGTACAGTTTTATGGCCGCCATATTGGTGTCCCAGAGAAGGGCACCAACATGGCGGCTGCTTACTAAATACTGTAATTTTCTGAAAATTATTTTCGAAATAACTCGGTTATGAAAAACGCTACAAACCTATAATTTGGACAGAACGTTTGTTTCTTCCTGTTCTATAACCTGTTAATTTTCTGATATTATTCATGCAAGCGAACAGTTTTAGTAACATTGATGCAAACCAGCAATATCTTCAATCCTTGCAAATCAACTTAGTTACTCTAAGCGATGGATATAAGGAACTGATGATTAGATCAAAGACCATTAAACCTTAAAGAAACAAGGAGATCGACTGGCAACAGCGCTACAACCGTGCCTCCTGTTCATGTAAATTCAGTGATATAAAGCTGCGAGGAGTAGATATATTAAGGGACTGTGCAATAATTATCAGGAGGGGGGGGGGGGGGGGGGGTTGGAAAATGGGCTTCACGTAGGAAAATATTAGGTAATCCCCCCCTACTAAAGGAGTGAATCTAATCAGTCAGAAATTATGTACGACCCCTCCCCCCCTCAAAATATACACACACCTTTATACAAGTACCCTGCATTTTCTCAGTACACGCACCTGTGGATTAAAATCTTATAACAGAAAGAAGAGCTCCTACTACATGTTTAATTGTTGGACATCCGCGTCTGGAACAAACATCACCTCCGTAGCAATGTACAACAGAGCCATAGCAGAAGGAAAAGAGCATGTGTGTTATTTTCAGGTCCGATGAAAGCCTAGTCTCCTACGCAGCCGCGGAAAATGTTTCGGTCCCCATCTTATAAATAGGTATGGATTCGCCAATGTAATATGTACTTGAAATAAAATGTTAAGGCCCCCCTCTCTTGAGTGACTTATTTACCTTGAGTCCCTCCCTATCCTTGCTTTGATTTTACTTTATGCCCCCCCCCTCCCCCCCTCTGGTTTTCCAACCCCCCACCCCCATTCTGGGTGGGAGGCCCTTATTTTATTTACATCAATTAATATAATTAAAGTCATTGACCAATTAAGTTATTAAAAAACAGGTGCTTTAAGGCTGGTTTCCAATGAGCGAAAGCTCAGTAACGATCGTTGGAGTTGTTTCCGCGAAAATTTTATGCCACACGGTATACCTGTAGTGTTAATAATTGAAATAATGTTTTCAGCTTCGAAAGACTGTAGTAGAGAAAATTATATATCATGTTGTATTGTAGCTAGTAAAATAAACAGAATGCAACAGTAGCTACCTTGTATAACGTCCGCGGGAAAATGGCGTCGGATGATATGAAAGTGCTAATTCTTCGGATGAAAGTTTCGTGGAGGATTTATAACTATTCACACTGCATA